TCGAGTTGCCACGTGCGWGTCTACATTGCACTTCGGTGGCTCATGGCAAATGGGTGGTTGTTTGGACCAACTCTGTTCTTTGCTGTGAAATGGGAAGGGTGGGTGAGTGGCTGTATGGCCGTGGGACATGACCYGAGCTGTTCATCTCAGAGTGAAGGGCAGGAAACCAGTGAGTACCATGTTCTGTGGGAACAGGGGTGTGTGTCTGAGCCAAGAGTCTCTATACTTGCTGTTTTGGGTGGCCTAAAAATAAGAAATCCTGACAGGTAACAAGGAGCAGGGGTGAAGCCTGACTTCAAAAGTTTTTCTTCAGTCACGTTAACACATTTCAACTTCTTTATTGGTCTGTTTGTGTCTTGTTATTGGAAGCATAAGACAGCTGCTGAACAGAGTTACTTTCATATGAGCAATGAATAATGAGTAATGAGTAAGCATAAATTTCATGAAAAAAACAGAAAAAACTCCTGTTTTCTATGTTTTCCATACTGTACAGCTTGAGAGAAAGCAGCGATGGTGATGGCCCAGTATGACTRCCTTGCCTATTGTAGGAATTATGCATAATTCATTCCAGATGTTCTCTGTAGGGGATTCTTGGATGTTTTCTACAGGACAGCTGCAAATGTCCCAAATAGCACAGCTTCCCGGCTTCCCATGGGAGAAGAGGCCAGCTTTTCCAAGGAAGGCTTCTTGATGACATCTAGTTTAAATTTTATTGTCTTTTTATGCTCAGATTGCTTTTCCGTAGATCATCCTAGGTAATAATTGTCTGTCTTTGTTATTTGCACCTTACACCTACCTCAAAAGGAATCACAGCGCCACTTGGTTGTTTCAGGGTGCTCTGCATACTGGAGCAAATTCCCTGGTTCTTGTGGCTTCCTGGCACTTCCTTTTTTCATCTTTCTGTCTATATGTCTCCTTCCTCTACCCACTCCTCTATCTGCTGCGTTGCTTTGAAAGTTGACACTTTATCTCTCTCCAAACTCAAAATGCCTAGAACTAAATGCTGCTATCTGGATGTGGAAGCAGGAGTGCTAAGATCTTCTCAGATTTCTCATAATGTAGTTCCTTGTGGTGCAATTTCTGTTTAGGTAGTCTGAGTCTGACCACATTTCATTGCAGTTTCCTTGCTAATATCCTTTCCTCTTGCTCTCCTYCACAACTGGTGCTTACCTTCTCTATGCTTAAGATTTATGTTTGGAAGGATTGTTCCCTGAGGCCTCAGTGTATGTGGTCCCCAGCCTACGTGTATATGTAATTTGGCTGTGTACTAACCTCTCCAACCGTTTGTGACTTTTTGCTCTGAAGTTCTCCCTCACTATTGAAGTTCGGTATCCACAGGCTGAGTTAACATGCTGGCTTAGAGACCACAGTTACTACCAATTAATTAGCTTCCCGTGATGTCTTTACAAAGTTCCTATCATAAAGAGTCCTTGATGCCAGCAAGGGACTCTGGTAGTACTTCAGTTGTTAAAGACAGATCTAAAGCTAACTGCTGTATCCCAAGTTGTTCACCAGCTGATATTTTACTTCTTTTGCTTTCAGACATGCAGCTAGCTCTCCCAGTGCAGAMAAATACAAGCTGTCTGTGCACATGCTTGCAGCTGCAGGGATGCAAGGTGCCTGCCTGGGGTACAGCTTGGAGTGTACTTGTATGCAGCTCATTTGGAAGAGGTGAGCCTGCCTTCTCCTTGTGCATGAAAGATTCAATGTGAGATGCTGTTGAAGCAAGGTAAGTTGTCTCTTGAATCACTTGTGGCGATCCATTGTGGMGATCCATTGTGGYGATCCATTGTGGTGATCCATTGTGGCGATCCACTGTGCAGTTTGAAATTGGTGCAGTCTYCTGTCTGCTTATAACCTTCTGTGCRTCTRTTCRTAGAATCATAGAATTGTAGAATACTAAAGGTTGGAAGGGACCTTTAGAGATCATCTAGTCCAACCCCTCTGCACACACAGGGTCACCTAGAGCATGTGGCACASGGCTGCGTCCAAGCGGGTGTTGAAGATCTCCAGAGAAGGAGACTCCACAGCCTCTCTGGACAGCCTGTTCCAGGGCTTCACTGCTGTGAAGATGAGGACAGTGAGGATGTGACTCATCTTCTAGGGCACTCTTGGTATGATAATTTGTCCAGGCATCTGCTAAATCCAGCTTTATAGTTGGTTCTATTAAATAGCACTAAACACGTGAAAGGAGGGTTCACAGACTTTCAAAGTGCTGTTAGGAAAAGAATTACACCAAGGCAATAAGGATTCCTGGYTAACTAGTGTTTGTGCCTCATGGGATAGACAACATTCAAAGCCAGAAGACTTTGCATTACACAGTTGGTGATTAAGTGCAACAATGGCAACAAAAAAAAACCTCTTTCTGAGGCTGACCTATATGAACRTGTAGAAAGTTTGGCAGGAATAACAAACAAAAGAAGATGATAATCTGCAGCTCTATCTTGCAGTCATAGTCATGGAGAAGCAGCTGAGAGGTACTCACATGTCTGAGTCATTTATTGCTATGGGATGGAAACATGCTGGCATSCAGTTTGCATAGTCCCAACAGACCTAACTGGTCAAATATTTCAGCCCAAGAATACTCAAATCATTACTCAGATGATACCACAGTTAAACTTCATTGCTATTTGTACAGGGATAAACTAGCGAGTTTTCTGTCTAAGCAAATGGTGGCCAGATCTTTCCCAATGAAGGGGTTTTAGAATGAAAAGTTAAGTCATCTGAATACATCTGAATATATTTTGTAAATAAAACAAATTACACTTTCAGAATTTTTAAAATAACTTTTATTCTTTTTTATTGCTTTTGATCTGTTTTATAGTAAAAGAACAGAGAGTAATGTATTACAATAGATATAGACTGAAGACCTTCAAGATCCATTTAGATACCTTTTYATTGCCTTTTATCACAGTCAACTCTAATTACTTGAGAAATTAAATTAAGGTTCTATGGAATATATCTCTTTAGAGAAATCCTCAGAACCTCTGGCAAAACAATTGTGAGGATGTTTAAAGACTCCACTCCTAAGTCTCAGAATTCTTTACAAGAAATAAATGTAATCCCTTTCAATACATAGAAAATACATTTCAAAATAACTAACAAGCTGTGGTGACTCAGAACATCTTCAGAAAAAGCTCTTCATTCATGCATGAGAGCTGGGGTGTGTGTGTGCTATTGGTCTGCTTCAGGAAGGAGAACTGAGTAGTTCTCTGATGGGAGCAGGGAATATGGCAGGCAGAGAGGCAGAACTATACCAGTATCTTCCTGTTTGCTGAAATGCTTCAGTCCCTGGACTAAGGAGAATTTTTTTTGATACCTCAGTTATCTCCTGGCAGGTTAATCTCACTATTTTTGTATTGCTTTCTCAAGGTCTGGGATGAAAAAAAGGAGCGAAGGGACAAATTAAAAGTTTTTCTTCTTAGTATACTCCTGCTTCAAAACAGAACAACTTGGTGATAATTGAGGCAGCCAGCAAGATTCTTGCATGATCCAAAATTGGATCCATTGGGTTCTTTTTTTTTCCAGAGAGTTTATGAGAACAGATTGATAAGGTGAAATAAGGATCAAATGCCACAGGAGAGTATGATATGAGGGAAAGCACAGGAGCATTAACATAGGAACATACACATTTGATCACGAAAGGAAAGAACTAGGACATGAGTTTGAAGATGGAAATCAGTCTCCTACAAGTAAAAGCTAAACAAAATGTTACTTTTACACAGAACACACAAGGAAATAAGAAAAAACTTTACAAGGCATGAGAGAGATGAGAAATCAGAAGTAAGCAGAAGGGACAGACAGTCTCTGCCAAAGGAATTGCTGGGTGCTACAATTAGCCAAATGGCACCTGCCTCGTGTGCAGTGCTCGTGCTGCTGTTCTGAACTGCCTCTCTGATTTGCTGTTTCTAATGGCAGAAGTGCTGAAGAATAAAAGCCATACTCTAGACTGCCAACAAGAATTTTCTTCAGTTTTTGGTGTTGAARCTATTTTTAAAATGAAAACTGTTAGCTTTTATTTTTGGGATGACAGTAGCTGATAGCTATTGCACAGCTACAGATTTATAGCAATGCTTTATGGATGGGGATCGATCTTTACTACACCTGACTATGAACAAAAGGTGGACTTGCTCTCCTCACCACCATTCCATGTTCCCATGAATGTGTTAAACACAGAAAGATAAACTGAGGGGAAGTCATTTTTATACAAATGAACTCTGTGAAGCTGAAGGCAATGACTCACATTATAATCTTATCTTATGAGTATCACAAAGCTGTGGCAATGCTTGCCCCTTGCCTCCAAACGAAACAAAAGCCCTTGTCTTGGGACCTGCCATGATCATTTAAGCAGGTGTGAGTGCCTCAGCAYTCACCAGCACTCAGACTGCCAGGGACCAGAAGGTACAAAACAGGTTAAAGGAATCACACTGTGACTGCCTAAATATCAATATCCCAGCCTTGCTTCCTGCTTTCTTTCCCCAGGGAAGAGCCACTCGACTGCCGCTCCAAGCCAGATCTAGAGCATGAAGTTGACAGAGGGTGAAGAGAAAAGCCTTCCTGTTTCGTGATGAGCAGGAACTGGCGTGGGTGGCATGAAGGGAGACTCACCCTGTGTGAAATACAARGAAGAGGAAGCAGCAAATACAACACCATATTGTCCTAGATGGGGTTGAAYTACTGGCACTGCCTGGTGACAAACTGTAACGATTCTCTGTCTCCTTAATCAACAGCAAATATGTCCTGAGGAGGAAAACCYCTCATATAACTATGTATGGACATGGGGACAGTGCAAGTGTTTCACAGAGGCTTCCCACTGGAAGAGAGGGAAATCAGTGCCCTTTGGCGAGTCCCATTAGAACTGCAAGGACTCCTGAGCACAAGAGGAATGACTTTCCTGATTGATCTTGGACACCACAAGTTTTCATCTAACATTATTCTAACAGCATCTAATGGCTGTGGAGTAGTACAGCAAAGGGAATATTTCCAAGCCATTTTGCTGATGAGATAAATCCTAGTGATTCCCTATGGTGATCTCCTCAGGAAAGGTCTCTCCTACCACAAAATGGCCTACTCTGAACTGGGGATTCTCTTGCCYTATCTTCTACAGATACATTCTGAGGAACTAATTGATATCTCAGATAATATAGGGATACACCTGCAGGAATCCTATATAGAAATCTGTCAGAGAAGAAAGAAGAAAAAGATGGTCTTGGTATAATTAGGTATGGATGTACCTGCACATTCATGCACAGAGTATCTGAGCTAATCGAGGGGAAAATTCAAATGCACTATCCCATTTTCTCCATACACATGAAGATCTGCAGCAGAAGGACAAGACAGGCTATTTTACAGGGACATACTGAGACATTTTCAGTAGCTTCATCACATGAAGCATGAGGTCTGTTCAAGATCCTGAGTAACTTCTTTGCCAAACTGATCTGCAAAGAAATTGCTCCTAGTTAGCGCTTACAAAGCCACTCTGYCCATGAGCTGTAAAGTGTCAGCTGATGGGTGTGAGGTCCGAAAGTAGGTGTCAAAGGTGATGAAGACCATGCTAGGATTTGTGGAGTCTCCAGTTGACAGCAGGAGGGATACTGGGGCTTTAGATGATCCCAAACTGGGCCAGCTCGTGCAGTTCCAGATGGCTGAAAGCTTCCCATGGGCAAATCACTGTGATATCTGCAAAAGAGAGAGAGAGAATGGCTTCTGGTTGATGTATATCTTAGATTTTTTTTCTGTTCAAATAGAAAGTTAGATTTACCCAGGAAACATTAAGAGATGGGAAGAAAAGAAAAACGAGCCTCTCCTTGAAGACTAAATGGGCAGTCAAGCCCTTCAGATCACTGTATTTTCTCCTGTGCACCTCTTCTATATGCAAAAGAGGAAACAAACACATCCTATAATCTCTTCAGTGACTGTGTAGACTGGTGTGAAAATTCACTCCTGCTATGTGATTTCTGCTTTTCTTCTAAACTTCCTCTTTGGTAGACTGTGATCTCTTAAAGACATGTGTTACCTTAAATCAGATGCTGAATAAATTGGTCTGCAACATTCAAGATCTGTAACTCACTGATAGGTGCTGTGATAGCTGTGGATGAAGCCCAAGAAGCTGTGACTTGTCACAAATGTGTTTCTCAATGTGTATGTGTGTTTCTCAATGTCAGTTGGGTACATAAAAATCTGAAAACAAGGATTCTGGTGATAACTCAAATACTTAGCCATCTGACATTTAATTCCTGTGATTTTTATGTATTAATAATGCAAAATTGGTTTTTATTTGAAAACCTCTTGCTGCTGAAATTTTTAATCAGAGTATTAGCAGAAAACAAGCAAGCACGTTTGCAGCCAAGTGAAATTATTTAAAAATGGAAGCGTGCCTAACTGGCTTTTCTGTCTTGTTGTGTATGTGAGCATAAGTATGACAGCTTGTGGAGGGAGTTCTGGACTTCTCCTTTGGCCCTGGGCGCTGCAGAGAGGCCAAGGAGTGATGCTGCTGCCTGACTCATAGATTGTCTTCTCCCATGCAGATGTGTGACTGTACTTGCTGTTTTAAAGAGATCTGTAACATAAACATCCTGCAGCACTTACCTGTCCCCAGTCCCTCCATGCCTGGGATGTCATCTCCAAACCTATGAGAGAAAAGAGYGGACAGCGGGTGAGCTTGAACTGGCAGCAACCAGGAAAGAGGAGCCTACCYAAGACCCAAGTTACCCTGCCCAGGAAGGCAGCTGGGCAAGCACTGGGCAAGGAGGAACAGCTCTGGGCTGGGGCCAGGCCAGGAAAGCTGACAGCATAATACCTTCCCTGGGGTCACATGGAAGCCTCTTTGCTCCTTCCTGGGATCAGTGGTGCTTCAGGAACCTTGCTTAGCAGTGACACAATGAAAATGGTTTATTTTTGTTGCTGGAGCTGCCCTGGTGCAGAGCCCCAGGAGGTTGGGCTGCCACCTCTACAGTGACCCCAGACTCTGTRAGCGGGAAGGAAAGGTGCCCTCATCCCCCTCCCCTGTGGAGGACTCTGGACTGTGGACATTCTTACCCTTTTACTCCTTTCTTAGGAGGCTTGCTCTTGAACTGCCTTGTCTGTCTCTGCTTGAACTTGGGAGGCCCTTTGCGTGGTGTGGTAGGACCAGTTGGAGCATCTGTAGTGGTGAGAGTGGCAGGCGGGTTCTCACTCATCCTTGAGCTGTTATGCGGGTCGGGGCACTAACCGCTCAGGTCCCTCAGTCTGTAAGATAATTGCAAGGACTGAAACAAAGGTAGGACACTTTGCTTATCATTTTAGGCACCAAAATCAGATGGCAGAGTCATTATGAAAAGCTGATTTTGACAGGATTAAACATAAGGAAAGACTCAATACATACAGAATAACATGACACCATTGCCTTTTGTTCTGTGTGCTAGAATTAGGACACCAAATCATGGACACTCCAGATAGGGACAAAAAGACACTCCGTTTCACAGTGTGAGGACCTGGAGAGTATTGGAAAGCTATGCCTCTCAGACACAGCAGGATCTTGAAGATGGTGGCTACAGCAGCAGGTCCAACTATCTGGACGAAGTAGGAAGGCTAATGCCAATTTTGATCATCATCTAGCTTGTCCTGAAACAGCAGTGTTGGTGTTTTATTCGTTAGTTCAGAATATGGCTAGCAGGAACACAAAGACACATTTCTGACTCAGAGACGTATCCTGTCTTTGGAAGTCATCATGATATGTTTCTCTGTTCTTTATACTCCTGCCTAAATATTGTCTTTTGGTCATCGGGAGGGGTAGGATGCTGAGGATCCTTAGTTTCTGGACCCTTATTCTGGATGAAGCTGCAATTGTAGTTTCATATTTGCCAGTTTAAATCTCCTGGGAAGTAGCAGAAAATGCTTGATGGATTGTAAAGAAAACTAAATCAAAGCATTGCAAATACTTTTTTTCTCAGGAACAAAAAAAGCTTGTAACTTTCCCTGGGACATGTTATCTGTTTTGATGATTTGAAGCATCATTTCACATGCATCAAGCTCCTCGGTACCACACTGTGCATGGGTGAAGGCCCAAGCTCCACTTCTGAGGAGGTCAGTGGTTATCAGGGAGCAGTTCTCATGTGGGAGATATCTTTCTGGTGCCTAGGTGGACGGAACTGCCACCCTGACAGTTTTGGTTCCTTCCCTGGCAGGACAGCAGTGGCTTCACCAGAGCCCAAGGGGGAGCTTCCAGCCTCTCATTAAATTCATGCTAATTAGCATGTTAGAATGGTTTGCCCAAGCACATTTGTGGACAAAAATAATTTCTTCCCACCCTCTCCTTGAAGTGGTCCTTGAAGTCACATTCTTCCCCATGAGCATTATATAACTCTTCTTTCCCAGTGTCAGTCCATGTGCAGCTGTGCTGATAGCTAATAAAATTAGYGTCAGGATTTTGGTACAAAAAGCCAACTAATCTCATTATGTCACCACAGTGCTCTAACTTAATCCTTAGTCTCACCTCCAGTGTCACTTCAGATCTTTAATCTCCGAACCACACATGCCATCAGAGATGAGGTTGTTCTTTTCTTAGTTTGGGGTTCATGTCTTTGACAGTGCCTGAAATAGCCTGAGTGCTTGAAAGAAAAGCGTGAAGTGCAAGAGGAAAGAGCATCCAAGTAACCGCTCTATATCTCTGTAAACGCACTGAAAAGCTAAGAGCCATGTTACCRTATCTGTGGCCTTCTGAGAACACTTCCCCCTAGACATCTTTCCATTTATAATGGCATTAGGATGGATCCAACTAATAGCACCTAGAGGAAGGCTAGTTCTCCTGCTGCTTGTGGGAGAGCTCCCGCCTCAGCTGCAGGAGGCTGGATGGGCTCCAGCAAWCGCAAGTGGAGCAGCAGATGGTTGTGTCTGCAGCTGAAGTATGCACAGATGCTACTCCCCGCCTGCAGCACACAGTGTCCAGGAAGCGCCCAGCATCCCCACAAACCCAGGGATCTGCCAAAATCACACAAGTTACTGATGTGGCTGCTATCTCTCAAGCACTTGAGCAGTTGCCCAGTATTTACAGCTTTATCTTCACAGAGCTATGGCAGAACAGGAAAACACTGTTACCTTCATCTTTTACAGAGTGGGAACAGAAGTGCAGTGATTGGTGTGACCTCAATTATGCTGCTGGGAGTTACTCCAAAAGCTCTTGAATTCCTTTTTTTTTTTTTTTTTTTTTTT